GTTTCATTGCGGACAGCCTACGCCCTTCGCTAGAGAGGGTCACAACTAATATGCGCGAGTGCATTGCGGTGCATTGCGCGAGTAATATGCGCGAGTGCATTGCAACTGCCGCTGCCAACCCTAACATGATCGCGCTAGTGACGTAATGCAGGAGTTTGAGAGTATGGACAGACTATAGGCCTTCACTTTTCAACAAATCGCACTGCTGCTGAAAATGAAAACAATTTCTCAGCGCAAAAAAAAAAAATACTGACACGGCACCGCAGTGTTGCGACACGTTTTCTTCTATTGATAAATTATGCACACTGTATGCGAGAGTACTCCCTTCCTGCCAGAAAAGTAGATGCGGGATCTGCTTTTGCGAAAAGGATCTTTGCCGGAAAGGAGTTACTCCTTTGTCGTGTGTCACTGCGCCCGAACGCCTTTCTGAAAGATGTCCCCATGTCTAAAGGACTTCAGGGTGCCCGTGTGTCAGGGGCATTAAAGTCTATTTTGCCCTCGCTGTCCTTAAACTCCAGTGCTTTGAAAAACTCTGTGTCATCATCCTGAACTATTGGCGGAAGCCCTTTACAGAGCATTATCAAGTCTTCGACAGTTTCCTCTTCCTCTCCACACGCACCGCATACCGTGTCTACCCTTTCGCATTTGGCCCGATAAGTCTTGTTTCGCACTACCCCTGTACTGGCCTCAAACAGTAGAGAACTACCCCGAGTATTATCATAGATCCTTTTCTTCCATTGTTCCCTGAATGGTCCATCCAAAATTGGTTTCGACAGCCTTCAGATCACCGGAAAAACGATCTATCCTATTGGTTGCTAGCTTCCAGTAGACGTCGGACACAAGTAACACGCTTATTTTCTGTGGGTGCTATGTTTCAGGATGAAAGCTGTCCGCGACGTCATAGTTCTCACAAAAAAAGTTCCAGGACCACAGTGCCCCGCGGCAGGCTCGTGACCGTATACACACTTCGGGTACATAACTCCAAGGCCTCCACGGTTACCGCTGTGTTGCTACGTTGGCCTCGGAGAGTCAAAGCTACCTTTCGAGTGCGCGTTGCTTCGCGGGGCTTCGAGTGGCCGAACGCAACCAAAGAAAGTTCTTCGTTTCCGATAACCGGGCATCTGAGGTCCTCTGAGACATCCGCTCGAATGTGCGCTGGCTATACCGCTGTCAAGAAGAATGTAAGCTAGACGCTTTTCGGACCCGCGCTCAATCCAGACTCGCCCTGTTTGGAGAAGAACGGCGTTGATTCCGCCCAGGGCGCTTGGGGCCGATGCCACTGAAGGCGTGTTCGTGCCTCGCCTTGCGATGCGTGGATCGTCCTGGTTCACTGTCGTCGCGTTTGTACGGGTTGAGGCTGCCGGCGTGAACAATTCGCAGAGACGCAGAAAGCTGCGCCAGAAGATTTTTTTTCATTCCATATACAATGGTATGATTAATATACAGAGAAACATGTACATAATGGCACCTCACTATAGGTAACATCGCATGGACCATGAGCGAAAAGTGCGTGAGGTTCTATGCCAGACAACTTTTTTAAGAAATCATTCTTTCCCGAAACTATCCAAGACTGGAATAAGCTAACCACCACTAACATCGTCAACGTAGTCTCAAATGAAATGTTTTTTTTTTGCCCTGCTGATATGATTGTTATTTATCTTTTTTGGGCGTAGTTTATCTATTATAGTTGTATCTTATTTATTGTATGTTTTTTTCTCACGGTACGTAGAACAGAGTCGTGACAATATTTCGATATCAAATCACTTTTTACCTTTGTTGAAAATACTTAATTGATTGATTGATATAAGGGGTTTAACGTCCCAAAACCACCATATATGATTATGAGAGACGCCGTAGTGGAGGGCTCCGGAAATTCCGACCACCTGGGTTTTTTTAACGTGCACCCAAATCTGAGAACACGGGCCTACAACATTTCCGCCTCCATCGGAAATGCTGTCGAAGTGACTTAACCTGGAATTGTGTGTGTGTGTGTGAGTGAGTGTGTGAGAGTGTGTGTGTGTGTGTGTTTACATTTATATTGTATTGCTTTGAATTACGTATATTGTCGATCTTCTGTAGCTATTGCTGTTATTGTTACGATTGTCCACGCTTTATGTATGACAAATATTGAACTGCAGTCCAGACTTGCTGTGAATCCCTTCTTCACTGTAATGCCTCTGGCGCTGTGGGTACCGAATAAATAATAATAATGATAGCGAGATGTCGTCGGTTGCACTTACTACAGATGGTGCTGCGCGCACGTCGGCGAAAACGCGCCATGTGGTTTTGCAAGCCGCAACGGTAGCAGCGAGCAACCGAACCCGTTCTTCCTCAGCCGAGAGTTGAACGTTGCAGTTCGCGATGGTGTGCTGACAACAGCTGCATAACCTCTTCCGTAACTGCAACAGATTCGGTTGAAGTGAGGAAGCCGTATGTCCCATCGGTGCTAACGGAGGTTCGACATCTTTGGGTAGCAACCGCGAGAAAACAGGCGCCGTTCGGCCTGGCCTCCCTTCTCGAACCTCAATCTGGATGCATTTCTGCAGCCTGACCAGCTCTTTCTTCGGGGGTCGCCTGTGCGGCTTCTTTTGACTTCTGCCGGTAGAGGATCGCGAGGTCGTCAGGCAGACACCTCATTAGGACGCGGTTGAGGACCACGTTGTACTGGTCAGGTGAGACCCCGAAACTATTCAGTGCCGAGACGCGAAATTGTACCTTGTCGTAGAGTATAGGCGAAGTTTGTCGACATCTTTCGAAGACTTTACTGGTGATAAAGCGAGCAGATGGTCGACGTGCTCGTTGATGAGCAAGTCGCATCGACCAAATCACTCTGTCAAAGTCCTGACGGCGATCGCATAATTGTCATCCGTGAGTTGAATGCCTTCGGTGGCTCTTTTCGCGGAGCCACTCAAATAATACATCAGGTACTTCTCAATCTGAAGAAAGTCTTGATTACAGTGAATGGTGGCACTGAAGTGGTCTTAGAAGGACTGCCAATTGCGAAGTGCGCCGGAAAATGTAGGTAAAAGTTTCGCCAGGACCACTGTGCGATGATGCGGCGCGGTTTCTCGACTGGGTGCCACCTCTGTTACACGAAGCGCAGCTTCAATGACCTCGTTACGCGCTCAACTGCCGGCACCAGCGACGTCGGTAGCGTAGCCTCGGGCCTTTAAGTTCTCGTTGTCATTGCTGTGTTGGCGGGTTCGCGAAGGAAAAGGGCGCCCGAGACACGACATAGGACACCCTCCTGTCGTAACCTTCTACGGCATCGAGCTCTTCGTAAGCATCATCGCCCGTGGCCTCGATCTCTTTGTTGAGGCTGGCGAGCTAGGCGTTCACCTGAGTCAGGTATGTGAGGCGAGAATAAACTTGCGCGCAATCGGGAGCCGTGTCCTGAAGTTCGCCGGTCAGGAGCGTAATGGTTCGTGTGACTCCGGCCCTGACGACGCCACGCTTCTTGGGCAGCCACTCCAACGATGCCATTGAAGCTGGAAGCCTTGGAAAGGCGATAACGGGGGATTTAGGCACCAGAAAGAATGTCGCGTATTCAAGACCTGAGCCCTACACCAAAAACATCCATGTTTATTCTACTGCTTCCTCCTCTTTTTCCTCTACGTCTCGTTCATGTTGCCACCCGTCCGCTATCATCGGCAACAGGCCGTGCTTCGGCGTTTCTTTGTTAACTGCGAAGAATGTTTTAGCCTAGTCGTGGCGCTTTCAATCCTGGCAGCCCGCAGGGTTCGCTCTGCCAGAGCCAGCCAGAACGCATTCGGTAACTTTACCCACCACGCGCGCACTTGGAAAACGGGAGGGTGTGAGGAGCGCGATTCGCAGATCTCCTCCTGTCGTGTGCACGCCATAAAATAATTTCCACCAGTTATGTGTGGCACATATTGTGCGTCTATGGAAAGTGACACAGGTGACACATTAACCGAGATTCTTGAATTATTAAGAGCGCCAAGGAGCGCGTGCCCCAGTAAGCGCGGTGCCGGCCTCGGCAGCGTGGTCGACGGGCGAAAGACTCGAGCCGGAACACCGCAGCGCCACGCCACCAACAGCAGTGCTGGTTGCCTCAACGCAGTAAATATTGCTCGTGTGCTCCGGAGCGAATACGCTTACGACCACTGCTTTAATCGTAGTGCGCCTTCCACACCAGAGTAATCGGCGCGCCTGGTAAGCCCATCGGTATGTGCACAGTCAATCAAGTTGCAGACGCTTGGCTTAAAAAAAATAATAAAACAGCATAGACTGGTATCCGTCGACTGCATCGCATCAAAACGATCCTCACAATGTGTGATATATGCCGTTCTTTTGATTTTTAATCGCTATTTTGCCAGTTTCAGCGGCTGGATCGTGTCGCGCCGGGCCGCTTATCATTTCGCCAGAGCCAGGGTCGGCAGTAAAATGCCGGCTGCCGGCACTATACACTGCTGAGGCAGAAATGCAGGAAGTTTGGTCAAGTGACAGCAGAAGTGGATTTAGATAGCGATATTTGGTCAAGTTTGCACTTAAGAACACGAAACAGACAAGATACAAAAGAGGTGGCACATTAAAGCGCTCGTTTGTGTAATCTGTGTTTTGTATATTCGTTCTTCATAAAACAGAGCGCAAAAAAAAAAAAAAACACGGGACAGAAACAGACCTGGACAAGCGCCCATCACGTCTGTTCTTAAGTGCACTCTGTCTTACGAAGAAGGATGAATAACAAACACGCCCACACCCTCTCCCGCTTGTCTGTTTTGCGCTCTCTAGTAGTAACACCGAAGTAGAAAATCGAAGAACCTCAGTGCACTCTGCCTGCTGCAGGCAACAAAGTTTCTTGCTCTTTCGCCATAGTTTTTTCTCATTCATTTCCACTTGCCGGCGAAAGCCCAGCCGAGGCAATGAAAAGGTGGCTGCATGACCGGATTCACTGGCTTCCGTTACGCATATTGGATACCATGTTCGATACGCAGCGGTGCTGTCGAACCGCGATGAGGCATGTGCTGCTACTAGCTTACCTTGCTGTGAGCTTCAGCCGCGAGTCCGGATTTGGCAGCGCGGTGTTCCGCCATCCTGTCCTGTATTATGCCAAAATCGCGCTTGAACGCTTCGCGACACACCTCCACCACAGCCTGATCAAGCGAGCCACCGCCGGAACTAGTCGCGCCTGTGGCAGTCGCGCGAAGGGAGAAGCGGAGAGAGGAATCACGTGCTGGCCGTTTCTGTAGCAACCGCAGTTGTACGATTATACTAGTTGCGAAACACTATGCTGAAACCCAAATCGCAAACAAATTCGCAGATGCGCGAAGAACAGCGAACCGATGCGCTACCTGGGAGCGACGACAAAAGACACACTGCATCGCCACGACAGCAAAACTTTTAACAGCTTCACCACTTCAAACGCACCAAAGTGTGTTTTTACAATTTCACTCTGTTTCAATTACAGAGATTGAGTTGCCCTGGTTTTGTGCTGCGTTTCTCAGATTGCAAACTTCAAAAAAATAACGCAAAAAGTATATTGTGATTTTGTGTGTAGATGGCGCTACAAAATTCAAACTGCTGGAGCACTGAATATATTATTGTAGAGCATATACAGTAATTCTACAAATTGCTATCTCGGTCAATGGCGTTGAGGGTTCACGTAGCCAACGGGGAGTTTTGCAACTTGTGTAATTACGCATTACTGTGGCATGAATTAAAGAACTCTGACGGGAAACGTGGACGGCAACTGCAGCTGGCCGACGGGCGTCGTCGTGTCAGTGTGTATTCAGACAATTTTGCTCAATTATAAAGTGGCTAGAATTGTTGCCACTGTACTAGAGTGTACTATCAGTGTACACTGTAACTGTACTACCCTTCTAGAACACTGTAATTGTACTCAAGCTCGACGTAGACGTTGTCGCCAGCTGCCTCGGCAACTTGTTTCTAAGCAATGATGAAACGTTGTTGGTGTGGCTGCGGCCTACTTCATCCAATCAATTTGCCAGTAAATTGAACAAAAAAAAAAATATGCGTACGTAACGACGGTCTTTCACGGGTCATACCAACGCCTCTTCTAGAATAGAGGGGGCGTTGGTCATACTCATGTATCGAACCTCCTTGGCTCGCGCTATGACAAGTTTGTAGAGGTATAAAATAGAGTGGTTCAGTCTAGCATGCCTCGCGTGGTCAAGTGCGGCGTGAATCCTGATGCAAAATATGTTGGCAGTCACGGAGGAAGGTGTTGGCAGTAAAGCCATAGAGTAATTTTTATGTTACTCTATAGAGTGGCGCTGCTGTCCGACGGTCCGACCGTCATCCTTTATCATCCGCTATCAAGGCTGCGTGGTTTGGTTTCGGTTGTCACTTAATTTTGGCGATTGATACTTCAGACTCTTTACGAGTGACCCTCCTGCGTTTACTTGCTGTAGAGAACGCGCTGAATCACAGAGTTTTATTGAGGTAAGAATTTTAACAATGTCCTTCACTTACGTCACTTTTTCTTCATTTGATGGCATAAATGTTTAGGACTAGGAAGATTTCGGAATCGTGTTCTCAAAAGCGTTGCGTTAGCGTCACTCGGGCGCGTTTGTGATCGCGGCGTATCGCCAGTTAAGGCCGAATTTTTACGTCACCATTAGCTAGCTACCAGGCACACATAGAGTTTCTCACATATGACTGTGAGAAACTCTATGCTTTTACAAATCGGAACCACGCAGTTCACATATCGAGCTCAATCACGAAGCGTGCGAGGCTGGCGGAATGTTCTTGCTCTTCTGCCAATGTTAATATGATGAACTGATAGGCCACCTAATAAATCCGCGTAAGATATTCTACAACAGTAAGTTCATATTGGAAATGAATGTAATTTTCTTAAGCGCTGAAATCATCTATATTTTGGAGAGCGAGGTGGTGCCAGGGGCGGTGGGCGCAAGTCCTTCAAAATTTTTGCCTGCCCCTGCATAGCCCCCCCCTCCCCCCCCCCAAGAGGGAACATAGTCATAACACAATGAATCCGCCTCCCTGTCCCCCCTGAAAGAGCTCACTGATCGTGGGTGCCCCCCCCCCCCCCCCCCCCCAGTAAAATAATCCTGGCGCCGTCCCTGTTGTAGTTTCGTGTACCACTAAAGCAAGCAAAGTGAGTGATATTATGATGGGCGTTGTAATGGGTTAATTGGGTTTCATATAACGTACAATAAAATCTCAGTACCACGGCCGATGTTGTTACATTTTACTTCAATCGAAATGCGTCCACCGTGGCTGTGCAGGAATTGCACCAGAGCCCTCCTAACAACGACAACCACGGCAGTTATTATTGCGATTTCTTTGTCAACTGTCTCCTAGCTAGCTGACCCCTCACCGTAATGCATTGGCCCCATGGTAATAGCTTAACTTTTTGTATTAGTAATTAAGACGCCAGGGTGTACAATGCAATCTGTTTTTGCTTTCTTTCGCGCTGCGTCATATCTAACCAAGTGTGAATGAAAAAACGGTTCAACAGCATTATAGTGAATGTTGACACAGAGTTGTATTATGCATCGCAGGGTGAATTGGAGTCGGGAAACATAAAATAAGATAATGATGAAACAGTAGGTGATATTCACCAAATGCACAAAGCGCAACCAGGATTTTATTTCGGGAGGGGCCACTTTATATGCATGTAAACTTGTGTGTCTGTATGCACTGACACTGCAGAACCTTTGCTACACTCATATATATGTATATAATTATGAAAAAGAAAGAAAATACAACTTTCGTTGGTTTGGCTCTGTATATTTCCACTAACTTTTCGTCTGGTGTGCCAGACTTTGTCAAATACTTACTTTGACAAAGTCGAGTGCTCTAAACTAAATGTTAGTGGAAATATATCGATAACATCTGTTCTAAGGCAAACAAAAACTGTATTTCCTAAAAAAAAAACTGGAACATGCCACACCAGATGTAAAACTAACTGCTTACAAAACATTCATACGTCCTGTCTTAGAGTACGCTAGTATTGTATGGTCGCCTTACCAGAAGGTGTTGCGGACAAAAATTGAAAGAATACAAAAATTAGCAGTCCGTTTCATATGCAGTAGATACCGACGCACACACTCAGTCACAGCTTTGTTAAAGTCCTGTGAGCTTGAGTCTTTGGAATATCGCAGGCGAAAACATTGCCTCAAATTTTTTTTTAAGATTATAAGTGGGCAAACAAAGATAATTAAGGATTTATATATTCAGCCCCCTGGAAGGCGATGTGATCGTCTTAATAATAGTGGAGCAATTCAACCTTATTTTACACGCACGAATGCTTTCCGCCACTCCTTTTTCCCAGACACAATAGATATGTGGAATAGTTTACCCAATGCGGTTGTACGACAAACAACATCAGTGGATTTTGAAAATGCATTGGACGGTTTTCTTTGTAGTGATGCGTGCTAAATTCTGTTGTCAGCATTTATTCGTTGATTTTTATGTGTGTAGTCAATGTTGTTTGTTTCTTATTTTTTTATTGTTGGTTATTCATCTCGTATTTATATGTGCTTTTGAATTTTTTTTTTGTGCAAACTATATGTACCTTGTGTCACCCTCCCTGTAATGACCCCAAGCACGGGGTTGATAGTATCAAATAAATAAATATACAATGCCAAACCAAGGAAACTTGTATTTGCTCTCTTCCTTATTTTGTTGGGGTCTGCATGATTCATTCCCACTACTATGACATATACATATATATATATATATATAATTCTTTTGCAGGCTAGCCAGGTGCAGAATGTCAGTTGCTCGCTAAGATGGCGCTTGAACACTGTCTGGTCGAGTTCTTTGCTCTGCAAGCAAGGAGGGCTGGCAACGTGCTTACTGTATCACGCAATGAAACTATCAAGAATTACGAGAAGTGGACACCAAGCACACTGGTCAACTACATGAACTGCAAGTACGAAGGCTCACTGGTACGTTTCTTCAGTGCCCACACAGACTGCTTCATTTTCATCAGCAAGAACAAGGTGCGTCTGCAGCCTCATTTTGATTCAGTGAGCCTACTGATGAATCCAAAGAACATGGATATTGTCCAATTCTTTCTGGACCTTCTACAGAAGATAGGGGCTACAAAGGAGCGGCCGTGTTCAGCACACATTCTGTCTAAGTATGTAAAGTACATGGACCATGATGCAAGATTATTCCTGCATAAAATGTATGCCAACAGCCTCAACATATTTTTTACCCTTAACTTTCGCCATTTTCATGCAACATCACCTGACAGATGTTTTGTGTCTTTGAGACAGCCTGTTACAGCTTCATACTGCGTTCCTGCGCACCTAAGGAAATGTTTGCACAGAAGCAATGCTTTCAACAGTGCAAGTGGGCTGAGCATGGAACAGCTGCAGCACGAGGGATCAGCAACTTGGCTTCCTGACCTCAGGCTGTACTTTAGTAATGAAGCGAGAACTAAGCTCAATGATGTCCTGAACTCTTACCCAAACATATTCAAATGGGAACCTTGCAAAAAAGTGTGGCTTCGCAAAAAGTATGATAAGTGGAAGGATGCATGGAGTGGCATTGAGGAACTCTTACTCACTGTCCACTTCATGGAACTGTTGAAAGACATAGGTGCTATGCAATCAAACCCAATATGCTTCAACTACATCCTCTGCTGCACAGATTCTGTCCCTCAGGAGTGCTCAGCCTATCTCACCACAGTTTTTCCAGGCATTGACCTAATCGATTTGTTTCATCTGCACCCCGACAAGTTTGACCTGTCTACCGTCAACTGTGTATCACTGAAGTGTGGCAGTGATGAGGTTGAAACGAAAAGAGGCCCAGAACTTCTGTCAGCCTACTACGCTGCCCAGCTGCTAAAGTATGCCCCAGACCTGACACCTGATATCTTCAGTATCTGTGCAAAGCATGCTACTAAAGCAGTCAAGACCTATTGTGCGTCTAGTGTTCCACACAGGCTTCACACAGTCCTTGATTCTGGACGAGAGCTGCTCGCCAGTAATACCATTGATTGCACAAAACCCATCGACATGATCAAGTGCATCTGTGGAACACCTGCTTCTAGAGCGACCAAGTGCAATGTTTCACAAAAATCCAAAACTTCAAGTTCAAAACTCCCTATTTCTGTACCAGAAAAAGCTTGCACAAAGCTGCTTACCAAAGCAGAAGAAGCTCCCGTCTTGGCAAGTACCTCAAAAATGGAGCCTAATGTGCCAGATATGCAAACGCCGACAACAAGCTCACCAGTTTCTACTTGTGATAGCCTAATACTGCCAGAAACAGTGAATCCACAGGACAGGTGGATTAAACCAGAACAGAAGGAAAGGGCAGCTATGCCTGGCACTTTAATGAGGTCCCATTCACTTGTAATATCCACATCGTACAGTGCAAATCACCAGTCACCTGGAGAAGACTACGTTCGAAAGCCTGTATCTATGAGAAGGTCAAAATCTCTTGCATGTTTGGAACTGAGCAACTCTGCTCATCCAACTGCATTGTTGGTAGCTAACAGTGCGCAAGCACAGAAAAAATCATCCAGTGCACAGCTTGATGACAATGCAACAGAGATTTTATGACAGTCAACTGCACTCGAGGCCATCAATAGCTCAGTAGAATGCAGCAAACAAGAACTGATTGTAAGGGCCAACGAGAATGCTGAGACAACAAATGTAGACATTGACGATTTCTCTGACTTGGACTATGTGTACAGCAAGATGGAGTCAGAGTTGTCAGAATTTATTAAGAAACGACTTCAAGCTAATCCTACTCACTCTGAGAACTTCACAAGCCTGCATGAAGCTGTGCAAAAAACTTTTGGAGCTGTGCGTAGTTACGAGATCCACCTAGCTGTGCTCTACTGTGTGGGAACACTCAGTTTTGATGGAAAGAATGTACATTACCACCCCAGTTAGCAAAGCATTGCTTACTTATGCTGGTCAGTGGGTAGCTTTTCAAGATTACTCACAGTCATTGAAAAGCATTAATTTATTTTTAAAAAGCCAGGGCAACTCTTTTGTGATTTTTGTGGTATGATATTAAAAAGTGTGCTGTCATTTCTTTTTGCTAATATATTGGACAAATGCAACGTGAAGGTTAAGTTTAGGAGGAGGAGATATTGACACTCGTTTACTTTTGTTGTTGTTGTTTTTTTTATCTAGCACCGTGTGTACAGTGGTAGACAAACAAAGCAAGGCTTTTTTACATAATGCAGGAACCTGTTCACAGTTGCAGTGAAAAAAAAAAGGCACTATAAAAAACATCATATGTTTTCATTTTTTTTAAATACAGAGGTGCACATTTTGGGGGGCTTTTGATATTGCTAGCCTTGGTGTGCAGGTCTTAGAAACACACTGGTTAGTGTGCAAATAAATAAACACATTGAAGAGATAACATTTCACTTCTTAATATAGAACCATTTCTCAGTGTCCTGTAAAAAATATACATGAGTAAGCGGTGATATACCATTCTCCATGCAGTTAACCTTGACTTCTGATGCCAGTAGTTGCATCCAATTTATTGGATGTCCATGCATACCTCTGCAGTAGCAAAAAACTTTATTGAGGTAGTGAGGCTTAAGGTTGGTCGTTTTAGGAAACCATGGGTCTAGGTGGCAGCATTTATGATAGCTGGTCCTCTGTTTGTCACCAGAGCCCCCCTGATGGCTGCTGTACTTTTTATGACTCTCTTTCGATATTTTGTGCACCCCTATGCCATGTGGTAGACTTCTCTTCAAAAGTGCACAGTTGAGGCTCACTCTGTACTTGGACTAAGGGGTTAGAGACGTGGAGGCATGAATGAGTATACAGCAAGTTTGTCCAGTCACTCTGACACGTGCACAGCATGTGAGAGGCTGCATTGTCTGCTAGGTCAAAGGGCTATTGCGGAGCTACTTAGTGTGCAATTTTTATAATAATGTGCTATAAAAGGAAATGTCACATAATTTTTTACATGCAGCCTAAACGTAATGTCACCACTGCCATGTTTCCAAAGTGTTTTTTCTAGTTTGTCATGCATACACTGGCATGTTTCAGTGATCGAGTGTTTTCGCCCCAAGAACAAGGAAACATTAGTTTTAATCTATAACACAAAGATGCAAGTGTGTCAATAGAGATACGGGTTTGCTTTATGCTGAAATTATTGTAATATTCACTGATAGCCAAAGGAATATATGGCATTTGGCTGATACATGCAGGCAGGACAGTGAAGTTCTTGAATTGAAGTTTAGTGTAAATAATTGTGGACTGAAGTCATTGTATGACAGATATTCTACCAGATAGTATTTAATATCTGTAGAATATCGCCATCCATCACAGTTATGAACAAACAAAACCCATTAGAATTCCGATATATTATTAATAACGCTTTTGTTAAAAAGGCTACGCAAGCGAAATATGTGGGTGTAACGCAATTTAAATTGGGAAACTCATATAGATAACATCTGTCGAAATGCGCTAAAGAAGTTAGCATATTTAAAACGTAAACTGCGTCGCACTTCACCTTCTATAAAACTAATAGCTTACAAAGCACTTGTCAGGCCTAAGTTAGAATATGCAGACCTGGTCTGGGTGCCGTATCAAAAATACCTAATTAAGAAAATAGAGAGGATCCAAAACCTGGCTCTGAGGTTCATTTATTCTAGCTACTCTCGTTTTGCAAGCGTCTCTGCCCTTCGGGAGAAGGCAAATCTGAAAACACTCTCTCATCATACAATAGTCTCTCGATTGAAATTCATCTATCAATTGTACCATGGTCACTTCAAAATTCCACCCAATGGCTACATAACCAACCGGTCCGTGCATTTTGATCGTATTCATCATAATAAAACAGACAACCATTCAGTCATCTGATTGTTCATCAGTGCTCATTATTTCCTCATGCTCTTTCATTATGGAGCAAGTAACCTCAGGAGGTCGTTAATGCAGACACGACACAATCGTTCGCCCATCTCGTCAATGACCTAACACTTGATTTTTAATATGCAATATATTATGTTCCTCATTAGTGCTGAGACTTTTCGTATTTCGGTATGAATGCCATTATTGCTATGTATTATTTATATTTTCCCTGATGTTGAAAATTTCCTTATTTTTGTACCAAGTATTGTATTTTCTTATATTTTTATATTCTGTTTTGTTACTGACATTTGTTACCCACTCCTGCTTGGGCCGGAACAGGGCCTGCAGTATTTGTAAATAAATAAATATAGTTGCTTATAGAAATTAAGTGGTGTGCTTGAAGCTTGAGGTGTACTTCTGGCAGAACAAGAATCAAAAGATTGCGGGATGCCTTGCAGCGAAAACCGACAGGAAGATGACAAATGAGGTTGAAAAGGGCGATAGGGGTTAGGTATGATTTGAGGGGACAGAAGCTTCTGGCAAAATTAGTTGAAAAGAGACACCAACGACATTCGGTGTGCAGGGCATTTCCAGTCATTTGCACAGAAACAGCGCTGACTCAAAGTGATGCAGAAGAACTTACAAACGAGTATGCGGTGAGCAGAGCAAGCAGTCAAGCAACAAAGAGTGTTATGTGCAAGATCATAGAAAAGAAAGCACTGAGTTGCCTTGGATCTCATGATTACAAAGCAATATTCTGTAAAGGAGTGCAGTTGCAGTACTTGCCGCCAGAAAGACAAGGCATGTTTCGATTAAATGTGAAGCCCTGCATTTTAGAGACGGCAAAGGAAAGGTGAACATGTTTGGCAACGGAGACCAGTTCGCAACAGAGACCAGTGAAGGCCATTACTTCACCACAGCACACAAATTTAAGCTACAAATCTGCAGGCACAATATTACACTGATAAATATAAAAAAGTTCCCAGTACAGGATGGCAAGTTCAGCAATCTCAAAAGTATTGTGGCTTTGCAGCTATTAATCATAACATGTCAATGAAGTAGCCCGCAGAGTGGGACAGTAAGGAAAAAACATAATGTTACTATATGTAAATGTGCACTGTTTAGTATCATCTTTGCTGCTTTTTCCGGCTCTACATACTGTTTCAGACACCCATTACAGCAACAAAGGAGAAATCAATGTAGAAGCTGGTTGACCACCCTGTATCTTCTTGGGTACTCATTCTTTGATTAGATGCTACTGACTAGGAAGCTATTCACCTTAATGCTGTTTAAAATGGGATGCCACTCTAAAGCATGTTAGATGCGGTCGTGCCCACTCCCATCTGGTCCACTCACACAAAACATATTTGTGGTCTAGTGAAAAACAAGTGGGAGAAAGGTGCAGTGTAGCCGTGCATGGCTGCAACATTGTCGGGTCATGTTTAATTCACAATTTAATTTACAAATTATGTACAATTGTTCATTAGCAGGATTGCTATGCTGGTGACACCGATATGCAAGATGACCAGGTGCATAGTAAACCGCAAAATAGTGCACAGTGACATCAGCTTATTCAACTAGTGCTAATGGACATCTGGTACAGCTATCAGCACCTTTAACACGAACGCTCCGCCGCGTGTCCTGCAGCAGTTTGACACTGACAGCACGTGTGTTTGGGTTCTGTTGCCAAGATGCTAACCACACATGCCGACATACTTTATCCAAGCCTACCGAGGTATTCTCTTGGCAAAAGCGCCCAGCACTTCGCGGCTGGCATCAATCAAATTAGCCCTGGCCACGCACTCCAGTGTACGTGTTAAAGGTGCTGACGGCTGTACATGGTAATCCATCTGATGTGATGAAACCAATGGAGTTTCTTTCATTTCTTTCAAAACATGCCAAGTTCACCACTAATTCAGTTTGGCCTTTCTTCCTGCCTTTTCACCACCAATACTATAGCAGTGTCTTGCTTTTGAGGTGTTCAAACAAAAATAATAACTCACCGGTGGCGTCGGCGTCAACACGTGATGCAAAAAATCATCATCACATGATGATGTTACCCTACGACCTTACAAATTGTCAAAATTTGTGACATCATTATGTCGTTATCACATGACATTGTAGCTTGGTCTAAGGTGGGCATGGGTGACCATAAGGGGGTGCAAGGTTTGTTTATACAGTAGCACTAAGCTACTCAGCTTGATTTACTCAGAGCCGTTTTTTTTTTTTTTTTTTTTTTGCAGCGGGCAACGTCAAGAGCGGCAAGTGCTGGTAAATGAAAAATGGTGACCGGAAAGAGTGCGACTAGGGTAGCCACCATAGTGTGACTGAACTGGGCTCATTTAAAATGGGCAGTGCAAGAACACAGAAAAAATAAATAAGAGCAGAGACAAAGAGCACCAACAAGCCAAGACCAAGGTACTCGACTGAATTGGGAGGGCTCTTGAGAAACATAGTTTTGTTTCTCTCTCTGTAGGTGTTCGGTGGCAACACATCTGTACGGGCAGCGCTTGCGAAGGTTTAGAAACCAAACTACAAGGCCACGCTTTCATAAACACTGCAGTCGCTGGAAGCGATAACGTAAGAGCCGCTAGAATGGGCCAACGAGATTTGTATTGGAAGAGCGTGCCTGCTGACGGTCTCCCACGCTCTTCCAGGAACTGGATGGAACGCAACGCCGCTCCGTGCGGCGTCTAGAGATGCGGGGTAGGCCAGCAGCTCAGGGACAAGTCCATTTCAAAGGACGGCGTGCGCGGCCCGGCAGGTTTGGGGACTGCCGGGAGGTGTGTGTGGGGGAGTTGCGCCGGCGTGACCTGGGGAGTGGTCTGGGGACTCTGAGGCGTGGTGCATCCCATCCAACTGCGGTTTAATAATAAGAGAATGCAACCCCGCGTATGTCCCTCAAAAATTTCAGACTACGCGGGAGTGTAACTGAAAGTTGCATTCAGTTTGCCCGTTGCATTTGCGGCATTAAGGCAACCGCACTCGGGAGGGGAAGGGGAGTGATTTTAAAGGAAAAGAGAAAAGTGAGCCCCGTAACAGTCTCTCAGAGCGAGGACACCTTAACAGTAGCTCACGATGGGTGTGGGTAAGGATTAATTGAAATGCAAAAAGATAGATGGAGGGAAGGAGAGAGCGAGGCGCAGATACAGCGAACGACGGAGTAAGGAGAAGATAAGTAAGATAAGAGTCCGAGGACGGGGCACTACTCGGTGAGAGCTCTTGTCGGCGTCAGCACAGAACACCTACCAGTGTCGTCAGCAGATGGCGTAGAACAAGTCCAGTCGGCCAGAGCTGCACTGTCGTCAGAGATCACGTGGGCACAACCGGTCGGCACGAAATTCACTTGCACCGTGCACAAGATCATCGCGGTTGCACAATGCTTACGCCGGTGAGCATTTACGTGGAACGCGGGCACGTTGGCCTGGCGCCGTGTCGGCCACGTGAACGACGGAATGCAACCATAGGATGCGTGCCGCACGGCTGATCATATTGTCTGTACAGTGCGTAAATTGATTGATATGTGGGGTTTAACGTCCCAATACCACCATATGA